TATTAATAATAATTCTGATACGGAAGGATACTCTATAGTATAAAATCACTGATGTAGAACATTCATCTGGCTTACAAGTTAAATTTCATGTATGATTAAAGATAAAATTATTCATTATATTATTTCTCTTCCAGTCAAAACCCAAACTTTAAATGCCACATAATTTTTATCAATACCAGTTTATCACAAGAATGAAACAACTATAACTATTGCTAAAAATGATATAATATTGTCTAATATTTCCGAAATATTTGTAGGAAATTGTACATATATTAGGGATAATTATTAATCCACTAACCTTAGACTTTTAAGTAACAAATGTATAAAATATGCTATTCATAGTGATATAAGATATTGTACTACTACTAACCTTATTAATACTAAACCATTTATAAAGTATATCGATTTATCATAAAGAATATTATCATTAAAACTAACATATTTCATCCCCTGTCTTTACCCGAATCTGCTGTGATTAAACTAGATAATAGTGAAGCTATTGTAAATCAAACCAGAAATTTGTATGTAAATGTAGATACTCTTTCCATTACTCATCAAATCGAAACATATAAAAAACTCAATGTAACTATAGAAAACTTAATTATATGGATAGAAGATAAAGATAAGTTTGAAGCGTTGGAAACAGAAAATTATAGAATAATGTATTAATATCCAGTAATTACGTTGACTAGTATTGTATCGTATTTATTACTAATTCATATAATTTCAGTATAAAGAAAGCCTCAAAGCTATGTCAACGACAACTTCAACCACCAGCAACTTCAGAACCACTAGCCTCACAAAAATTCAGACCTTAGAAAAGGCCTGTCTTTGATACTTTAAAAGGCTACTCCAGCCCCCTTATCCTAATATATACATAAAAATACATTAAAAAAAAAATCTTTCAGGCTGAAGCCCCCCTTTCCCCCACCCCCGAAATTAAATCCTGGATCCGCTAGTGAAACCATATCCCAAGAATGGCAAAGATGGTGAGACAACAGCGAACCTAGAAAATTAAAGACAATAAAGAAAGAGGTACAACCGAGGAGCAGCTCCAAACGCAACAATCGTAGAGTGGAGGTCGTCCTCACGCGGCTGAGGATCGGACATACTAGACTGACACACCTCCAATTCGCAAATTCATCAATTGCTTCGGGAAATGATGAAAAAATCTGTAATAAAGTAAAACACTGACAGGCAAAAAATTCCACCCACTTGATTTTTTTCATGTTTTCATCTAAAAATATTTCTGCTTTGGATTGGTCTACTGTTTTTAATGAATAAATAGGTAATCTTTTTGTTTGTTTTCAATTAGGAATGTTAATATAGAGGACAATAACCCTTAATCGTTCATTCAATGAAATTACTTTTTATGGAATCAAAATGTTTATTCACTATCATTAGTTCAGTGCCGTTTCTTGCAGCACATTTCTTAGTCTCCGGCTTTTAATTTTTTCAATATTAAATTTAAAAATGCCTCTTAGTGCTGAGGATGTTGCCCGATGTGTGGCACCTATTGATGATGGACGTTCTATTAGATATGCAGCTAATGCCATCGGAGTTCCATATGAAACTTTACGAGACGCCGTCAGGCGTTTTCGGGAAACTGGTTCTTACAATAGAAGGCCTGGTGGAAAGTATTCCGAGGCGTCTTCAAGAAGTAGTGAAGGCAAGAGGAGGAAACACGCGCTACTAAACGGTGATGTAATTAATTTCTTTTAGAATAATAATGGTTCGTTTTTCAATTTTTTTTTCTCTAATCTTTCTTACCCAATTACATTTTGATTATTAAAGGTAAAAAAGATTATAAAATTCCATAAATACTAAGTACTATCTACAAATCCCATGTATTATACATAAATACAACTTTTTTTACAAGTGGCAGAAATATTTTTCGATGAAAACATGAAAAAATCAAGTGGGTGGAATTTTTTGCCTGTCAGTGTATGCTTTCTCTCTGAAGAAGGTATCTTTAAAAATATTTGAACCTCTGAAGCAGCACACCCACCCCCCCCTTTTTACTTTCCTACCTATACTATGTAAGGAAAGTATTGCGATCGAGTCAAATTTCCGATATGCGTTTTCGACGGATCTATACGTTTCAGAGCCCCCTGAGTCCGAAAAACACATTTTTAGCCATTTGTCTGTCTGTCTGTCTGTGCCAAGATTTTCTCGGGAACCACTGAACCTATTTTGTTGCTTACTTTTTTATTTTGTCGGGTTTATAATACTGATGCCTATGACAGAAAGTTGGTGCTGCATGCTAAATAGTAATAAATTAAAAACATGTTTTTCTGTAGACTGTAGAGCAAAAACGGCTCTAACGATTTTGATGAAACTTTCCTATAATGTTCCAATAATTGTCCTTTCAATTTTCGTATATGGATTAAATTCTCAAAAAAAAAAATGAAAAAAAAATGTTATAAAGTAAAGAAAAATGTCCTAACTCGCTTAGTATATATTATACGGTAAAATTTATAATAAAACTTTTGAAAGGTAATTAAATTACCAAAAAAACTATATACAAATCGTTCATTTTGGACAAATATTAACGAAGTTACACCTATACAATTTCAAATGCAAGATCACGGGTTCATATCCTGGTGTCAGAAAGGGGTGAATGAGAGAAAAAATATGACTAACTGAAAGTAAGAAAATCTGTTGCCCGTATCACACAAGTTCACTATTTCCTCTACTTTTAACAGAAACTATTGTTTGACAAAATTAAGCTATGGCAAAAAGTATTTGATCAACAATATCAGAGTGTTGAAATTTTTACACTGATATACCTTAAGCCGGTTTACATTGCTTTAGTTTATCAAATAAATCGTACCCAAATCTTTTTTTTTTTTGATCAATTTTCAAGAAAATAACTCTAATTCAATTTTTTTTTGTTTCTCGGTAGACATATGTAAAGATATAAAAACATTTCTTAAAAAGGTAGGTGTCATGTGATTGGACACACCAGATTTTTTTTACTTAACGTGCTAATTTTAACCTTTACTTTAAATAGCCTTCAAATGACTTAGCTTTAATAACCTTTAACAACCTTAAATGACTTTAAACTTAACGTGGATTTTAAGTCTTTTTAATGTAATTTAATTTCTATTATTCAAAACTAAGAGATATATGTAAGGGTTATATATGTAATCTTAATTAACGCCGTTGATAACCAGCAGGTTTTACTTCTTGACTATATAACAACCAAACAATGCTTAATTGTTCACTTAATAAAATAAGGATCAAATCATGTAATTAAGATATAGCTAATAAATATTGCTGCACCATCTCTTTAGATTAAGGGTCACCAAACGTTTTGGCCTGCGGGCCACATTGATCCCTCCACCTAGTCCCACGGGCCGTATTGAGATCTTCAAATAAATCCCGTGGGTCAGGGGCTGTGAAAAAAAAAAAATAAAATGCTTGTTCTATAATTTCACAGCTGAAGTGTAATGAGCTATGAAAGAGAAAAAAAATCATGCAATAAATGTTGTAGTATCCTCTTGTGTGAATAATTAGCTAAATTTCATCTTTTTTTTTTATTTTACCATGTAATAAAAAAAAAACGTTCACTGGCCGGAAGTTCTGGTGGGGAGGAAAGCCCTGCTTTGGATGATAAATATTTGAAAAAACAGTGTTTTCAATAATAATACATCCCAGGTCATGAAAAAAAAAAATTAAAGATCAGTATTAATTTACCATAGCAATTTTTTGATAAACACAGGTACTGTGGGGCGGTAGAATATTACATTACATACTTTTTTTTTTACTAAAATAAATTAATATGAACTTGAAGCTTATTAAGCATGAAAGTTTTTTTGTAAAATTGGGATTTTTGTTGCCTGATTGGAGGGAAAAGAAAATTAAATGTTGGAAAAAATGATTTTATGAAAAAAGGAAAAATGCAAGACGAGTCTTGGTCTTGCGCACTCAGTCTTGTCCTAGTCTTGCGCAAGACTCTCGCGACGGTATTGTAGCTACCTTTTAGCTTATTGCTATAGAAATATTACTGTAATATTGTAGATAGGAGAAACCTAACCGAATGAAAAAATTAGAATAGTTCAATACAAAAGTGTATTTGTTATACCAATTCTTCACATATAGTAACTAAAATTGTCAAGTATTAGTAACTATTTTGCCTTAATTTTTATTCCAAAAATCGACTTTGTTTTACTAGTCTTGGTTTTGGTCTTGTAAAGTGCAAGACCAAGACCGATTTGATTTTGGGCAACAATAACTAAGACCAATTCTATTCGCCTGTGAAGTAAATGTTGTCTTGTTTACTATGAAACATACGTTAGTTACCAAAATTAAATATTTTTAGTCACTGCTTTAGCTTAGATCACTTACAGTAAAAAATACGGACCAGTGAAAGAATAATAAGTTATCCATTTTCTTAAGGTTTATTATCACCTCTTTAAATATTTCCCTTTACTTAAGGCACACCTATATATCTTTATGTATGTATGCGTATGTATATATCGAATGAAGCCGGAGTAGCCGTGCGGGATCAGGCCCTTGCAACAGATAATCAAAGTTAAGCAGCGTCGAGCGTGTTTAGTACTTAGGTGGGTGACCGATTTGGGTGAATGTTCCCCAGGAAAAGCCACGCTGCACGAGATCCCCCCTCGGCTATGTGGGACCCGTCAGCCTACTGGAGGCAGCTCACACCGCAGGGGATGAGCGACTCCTGTGTCTGAAATACCTCCTAGTCCTTCAGGTTCAGGTAAGGGTTTGCGCATACGGCTAATAACCCATCCCGTAAAAAAATAATATCACGAAACCAAACAGGCGGCTAAAGATATACAAGGTCTGTAAAGCCAATAGAAAAAAAATGTATATATATATATATATATATATATATATATATATTCATATATATCGAAACTCCGGGTAGATGATTTTGGTAACCTGTAAGATACCCATAATATGAAAGGAATAATAAAGAATGTATGCATTGCTTTTCACAATTCCAGAAATAATTCATTAAAGCATGTTACCTATAAGGATTGAAGGTGGTAAAAATGGATATAAATTTATATGGATTATTTTTGAAATCATGCAGAAACTTTGAAAAGTCTTTCAGTTCTTCCATGGACTTAATAGTATCCCACATTTTTTGAGGTATCCATGTGTAAGGACAAACATTAACTTCCTGAAAATGAATTTTACAATGAATAATTTATATAATTCTTAGAAATAACATCTGTACTTTAAAATGTAATTACATGCTATTTATCGTATTTTTTAAAATTGTGTCCTGTTTTTCCTATGAAATTCTCACATGAAAATTCTCAAACAAAACATTCGAGCAACTTTCAAATGTTTGCAGAATCCTACTTGTTTAGGTTTTTTACTGACCCTCAACTCATTTATCAAACATCAAGTATAAAATTTTCTAGTCAAACTATTACTTTGAGGTAAATAATAACATTATTTGTTAAAGAAATACTCTTGTACAAATTATACAAAAAATAAAAATTAAACATTATATTTTACTTTGTGGAGCTGGTAAATTCAGTAACATATGAAGATAATTAGGGGCATGAAAATACTATATTTTATATTATACACAATTATACACATAGAATAATGTATATACTGTCATATATGCCCTAGTCGAAGAATGACAAAAAGGAACGTGTAGAGTGAGTGCATGGAGAGGCCATTTGATTTTAGGACTTGATATGCTAATATCAAGAAATAAATGATGGTTTTTCGTTTTCTCTATTTCATCCTGCGTATGGTATAAATAAAAACTTACAACTCTAATACTTATTGCCCTTGAGCGTGGTTCACTACAAATATCTACCTATTTCTATTTTACTATACATTTTTTTTTTAGTCAATTTTTGTCTTATGGCGCAGTAATTATTATATTTATAAACTTCTCCGTGGAACATTTCGAATCTCTAGGGTCCCCTTTTCTATTTAACACTTGAAAATTGAAACAATATTCAGTTATGCAAGTATAATCTATATTTAAAAAAAAAACACCTTTTTGCACTAGTGATGGACACTCCGAAATTCAATTGTTCTAGTAATGGACAGGGGGTCGGTACCAGTAATAGACATACCTCAGAAAAATTCTAAAATCATTATTTAACTATAAAGATAACACAAATGTTCAACTTACTCTTAGCAAAACTGTTAGTAGGAAGGTATGAAACACACTGATCTCAAGAGCACTATAGAAACAACAATGATAGGCATTTTTAAATTTTCTTTTGGAAATTTGTTCATACAGTTGTCAATAGAGGGCATTGTTCTTCAATCTAGAAAAAAACTGGAACCTTTAAATCAACAAGGAAGCTTATTATTTACATTTAAAGTCCAACCTGTCCATCACTGGGCCCCCTGTCCATAACTGGTGCGTACACCCTATATGAAGTCCTCTTTACAAACCAATAGACACTTGCTTGTGTTTCTCATCAATGAAAGATAACATATTGCTTGGTTGCACTACAAGATTGCTGTCATTTTTTTTTTCTAAGAAATATACATGAATAGGAGTTTTAAAAAGTAAACAAAAATTTTAATCGAAACACTTTAAAATGAACAATATATTGTATGGTTTATTTTAAGCAATTCGTACTTCTATTTAAAAGCTACGATATATATATATATATATATATATATAAATATTTTACCTTGGCCTTTCCTTTATTGCCATGTATAAAAAACTTCAGGTTTTCATTTTTAATCAGATTTTTATACTTTAGAAGTCTAACACTCAACCAAAACCGGAATTGCAACATATCCTTTTCAAAAACAAATCTTATAAACTTATCGTACATCAATAAGAAAAACTTTTTATTGACAATTCTACGAATTTTATTTATATCTGTAACTGAAAAAGAAAGAGAAAGTTATTGGAAATAATTTATTACTAAAATAAAACAGTTCAAATTGGTATTATAAATTACCCCCCCCCCCCCCAATGCGCATAAAGCAGAAATTTGACACAAGCTTCAATAAATTCTTTTTACATTTAAACAAATAACTAAAACCAGTTTCGGAGATAAGTATGCTTGGGCTATAATGGTATTACAGTAAAATAATGTAAATGTTTTTGTTTTTCTATTTTAATCATGAAGTATAAATTTCATGCTTTCTCTGAAAATTTGTTGTAGTATATTTATCAATTGACCAATAAATTACCTCCTTTAGGTATATTTTTTATTATTTCTCTGAAGTTCTGCCTATACCAATCAAACGCGAATAAATATGCTGAATTAAGCACTTCAAAACCACTGAAACAGAAGAACAACTGAGCGGGATATTTAGTAACATCGTGGTACTTCATTAACATTAGTGTCACTATGTCCAGTGCCACTTTTACTTTGCGGATTCTTTTCTGTAAAATAAGAAAATCATTAATAGCACTTAAAAAAAACAAAAAACAAAGCTTCGTTAAAGTATTATGTTGAAAATAACTGACAAAAGAAGTTCGGTGACCTGGTACAAAATTAAAATCATTCCTAATTCTTTTACCCACCTAACCTGGATCTTGACATTTAATGAACTAATCTGGCCATATTTAGCTTTATCATCCAAGTATAACTTGTTTAAGTATAATATTCGATATAACTTGTTAACAAAATCTATTCGCGGTAATGTTTCTTTAATATTTTGACGGTTTAGTTATGGTGGCAAAAATCTTCGTCAATGTTACCATTATAACATAGTTTGTTTGATTTATATATTTTCTTTAGACAAATGATTCTTCATTATGAAAATTATAGTGATTCTTCTGTCATTCGGTTATTGATACGCTCAATAATGGGTATCCTATTCTGTACCAATCCTGAGTTCTTCAGTTGAGCTGGTGGGTATTGGAGATGATTTATTTTATAAATAAAAATAAATCTATTAGAAGGATTCTTTTTCTGAAAGACTAAAAAATGAACATTCAAGCACTTTACTTTCAGTGGAAGGTTCGATGTTCTTTACTTTCTATATTCTTTTATAATCGAACAAGACAGGAAAACTAGTGTTCTTCGGAACAAGTTTTACCGTAGTCAATAAAACATGTTATGCTATACAAGACTCATCGAAGAAGCCCTCAATATCAGAGTGATTTAGTCCCTAGATCAGGGGTTACATTTGTTGGGTTTTATTTATTTATTTAGGTTTACATTGGGTTACCCCTTTTTCAGCAGCGGGCACATTTGTAGGTTATGTCTTGAGTGGCGGGCATCGCGTTTTTGTTCATTGTAAATTGCAATAGGTTACTGTTTATAAATATAAAAAGAAAATGTAAATGGTTTCAATAATATATATATATATATATATATATATATATATATATATATATATATATATATATATATTGAGTTGGGAAATAATTTCTTTAGGTTTTTCTGTTTGTTTTTATGTCACTATGATACACTTCTTATCTGATGAATTAATCCCTAAGGTGGATTGTTTATCATTTTTGTAATATGTCAACAACTATATCTGTTAACTCATGTTGAAACTAGTTTAGTATTGTGTTTCCTACTGCACTGCTAATATGGAAGAAAATATCATTCATTGTCGGCATATTTTCTTGTATTATTTTAAAAAAGGTAAGCGTGCTGCAGAAGCTCATAGAAACATTTGTCTGGTCACCCGTCTGGTCACCCAAATGAAATTGAAACGAGCAATGTTAAGGCCGTTGTTGATCAAAATCAAACCCAATCACTTCGAGAGTTTGCTATGACCCTAAATGTGTCGCATTCAAGCGTATAAAACCATTTGCACAAGCTCGGCTATGTATCCAGGCTTAATGGTTGGGTCCCTCACACTCTAACCGAAGTCAACTTGGCATCACCCATTTCTGTTTGTGATTCGCTACGGAAACGGCAACAAAACGACCCATTTTTGAAAAGGTTGGTAACAGGAGATGAAAAATGGATATTTTACGATTAGGCGACTAGAAGAATGTTAAAACCCGGATTTGCATCCTAAGAAGATAATGCTTTCCACATGGTGGGATTTCAAGAGTGTTATTTTCTATGAGCTATTGCCATCAGGAAAAACAATTGTTTAAACTCTATACTGCTCACAATTAACAAAATAGGATCAATCAATCAAAAATAAACGCCAAGAACCACTAGCGGATCCAGGATTTAATTTTGGGAGGGGGGCTTCAGCTCGAAAGGTTTTTTTTTTTCATATGTATAGCGATAATTAATCTGAGAAAAAAGAAAAAAGAAACTAACTACCTATATGACATGGTGTGTAAGCGATTTTTGAGGTCCTGTTAAATGTAATTACACGAACAATAATACTTTAAGAGATAGTTTTAAATATTTGTTTCTATAAAATATGGTTATATTATACCAATTGGGAGGAGAGGGGCTTCACCCCGAGAAGCCTCCTCCCCCGTAGATCCACTTGTGCCCACGATTTACCAGAGCTGAGGTGAAGTACCAGCGAACAGTCACAAACACAGGATCACTACGACTGCCAGGGCCAAGCAGTAGAAGCAAGCACTCTTGCCGTCAAGATTGGACAATGAGCAATTGTAATTACACCACCTTACGGGCAATATATATAAATTGGTTAGCAGAACATATACAGGGTGTTTCGGGGCTTACTGCAAAAATTAAGCAAGGACCTCAAAACAAGAAAAAAAATTCATCTGAAGGTATGTCAGCAAACTCTTTGTTAAGGAGATATGCCCACCTAAAGATTTTCGTTGTTATGAATCATTTACATTATATGAAATAAATAAAACCTATTTATTTGTTCTAACTACTTTGTTAGTAGAATGTAAACATTAACATTCATATTAAATGTTGTTCAAGGTGATTTCCTTGAGCATTAAAACAGGCTCGGTGTCTTTCTTCATCAGCAGCATTGGCAGTACGGCACTGGATATGTGTTATTGCTTCACAAGATTCAATTATCCTTCTTCGTAAGGAATTAAGGTCATTGACCGGACTTGCTCAATCATATCCCATATCCTAAGCAATGGATTGGCCGAGCAGGCTGAACTTGAGAACAGGCCGGTCAAGACATCGAAGTTTTTATAATATGAAATATAAAAAAATTGAAATGACCTAGTAACCATTGTATCTGTTACCTATAACGTGCTACAATTAAAATTGCTCTTTATAAAATTTCGAAAAAGAAATATAAATTTAAATAATATTTTTGCTTGACATTTCCTGAACCATTCTGAGCGTTGTATAAGTTTAATAAAAACTTACGCAAAGTCATTTTAGAACCTTTTGTGTTCATCATTATTGAATTTTTATCCTTTAAATCATCAAAAAAGATGCTTCATATCATCAAAAGTTTTTCAACTCAAAAATTTTAAATTTAATAATTTCCAAAGCAAGAATACCCAGGGTCTAAAAGTATTAAATATGCAAAATATACAAATTGCTGAAACTATAATTAGGTAAGTATTGAGGTACACAAAAGATCATCGTAAATTATAACATTTTGAAATAATTTATAAGTTTTAAGAGAAGAATAACTTATTTTTTTATCAAATAAATAGCGAAGCTTTCGATTGATATTAATATTTCAAATCTCTTATGTTTTCAAATGGAATACATATTTGGTAAAATTAAATTAGCTGAATGGTTTATCTCAATATTTACAAATAGTAGTTGAACGGTCGATTCTCAATATTTGCTACCGTATTTACACTAATTCTTCTTTCGCTAACAAGTTATAAACGTACGTTTTGTATAACTTCCTCCAAAACACTCACTATCAATATTTTGACTTTTGTTCCATTAGATTACACCGATCAGCGTCGTTTGATGAATAGTTGTGGTAATTTTTCCTAATATTTACGTGGCACAGCACGACTTGAATGAACTCTTGACGCATGTTTTACGTATATATTATACGCGAGGTGAAACTAGCTATTGTTACTAATTAAATATGTGTTAACAATATTGATATTATACACAAAAACTGCAAAATTACTTAAAATTGATCTTAATGAAATATTAATCATATCGATTACAGGCGAAGGAAAAATCTAAAATAATGTACCTGACACAGAAGATCTTTCGCCCTTGACTCTTTAAAAAACGTTAACCAATGACTTCTGGGAGACAGTATAGTTTTCATAAGGTTCAGTTGAACGGCAATAGATTCTCTTAACTCCTTCCTCAACGCTCTTTCTTTTTCAACGTTTTCATAAATTTTATTCAATTCGTTTTGTAGACCCGGTAGAAACAATTCGTTTATGGTAGATAGCAAAGTATTCCTTAACGACCTAAAAATGTTATGTAATTAGTAATTTGAAATATTTAATTCAACTGGCTAGAATTAAAAAGAAACGTCATTTCAACTGTTTCATTCAGATAATGTAAATAAAAACGTTAAGTTTATAAAAATATAAACAGAGCAACTTTAATAATGATACATTATATATATATATATAATGTATCATTATTAAAGTTGCTCTGTTTATATTTTTATAAACTTTATATTATATGAAACGGCTTAAGTCATATATATATATATATATATATATATATATATATATATATATATATATATATATATATATATATATATATATATATGACTTAAGCCGTTTCAAAATGATTTTTTAATGAAGCCGTTTTTTGAAGTTTACAGATAAAAATATCTAAACAGATTGTATTATTCATTATTGTGGTTTGATGGTTGACTGTATTGAATAATCGAAGGTTGATTGGGGAGTTCATTAAAAATAAATAGAATTTATTATATATTATTATTTATTTTTTTGACTGAATGCCCCAACAAATCTTCTATTGTATCATTCATCGTTATCATCAAAGCACTTTTTGTCGAAAATGGACTTGCAACACTTTCAAAGAAAACGACCAACCGGTCAAAATTAAATCATCAAATATATGTTTTAAAATGCAAATATACATACCTTATACCGTATGAAAAGTTGATTACGGTGACCTTTGAATACAATTCCGGAGAAAGGTCGGGTTCAAATTCTGCAGTTAAAATGAAAAGGCGAAATTTTTCATGGTATTTCATTCTTCTATTCCTAATGGCAATCCATTCGTCACCGTTTGCAAAAAATGTCCATCTGTGGAGTATCGGATCCAAACCGGAACTCACAGAGCCAGTGTCGGTTTCTACGAGTAGGGTAGCCCCGATACGGATGCTGTCGAATAGAGTTTCCATCAGCGCCGAATCTGACATTTTTATTTGCTTCAGTTTTTTGGAGTACTGTAAGCAGAAAGAATGTTACATAAGCTACCTCATCAGCTATTTATAATTATTTTAAGAGTAATGAATGTTATTTACTGAAAACATAGAAAATAAATCCAAAACCAACTTTAAAATATATTAAAATTATTGAATATTGTATATTGAAAAAAAATTATGTATGAAAAAGAAGAATGTTATATTTTCTCAATCATAGGAAACCAATTTTTTCATCTATATCATTAATAGTTTATTTTTATTACATATTTCTGTTAATTTCCTAAATTTTACTCGAATATGTATTGCCTCAATCCGAAAAATATTTCATGGATTAAAGCAAAAAGTGAACTTCCTTAATTCTCATATTAATCTTAAGTGCCTAGATAGGAGAATTTTTCCGAAGCTACCCAAAAAAATAAATAGGGTATTTAGATTCGAAACCCTTTATGTTAATTCTTGATCTGACATTTGAATTTAGCTTATACTTTTTTAAGAGCTTCAAAAATTCAAATTCTAAAAAGAATGTAACTGAAATATCTATTTCAATTATTATATATATATATATATATATATATATATATATATATATATATATATATATATATATAATAATTGAATAATAGAATAATAAATAATAGAATAATATATATATATATATATTATTCATGTATATAGGGGTCTGAGGTAGCCATGCGGGCTAAGGCGCCTGCAATAGGTAATCAAAGTTAAGCAATGCCAAGCGTGGTTAGCACTTTGATGGGTGACTGCCCACACCAAGGAAAGCCACGCTGCCCGAGATTCCTCCGCCCCACTCCCGGGGCAACTGGAGGCAACTCACACCTCCAGGTTTGATGACCCTAGCCCGTACTTTAAATCGGCAATCGGGATGTGGCCTAGGAGACCACATCCCGCGGTCAAAGTTCAAAAAAAAAAAAGAATTAATAAAAAGGGTTAGTTATGATATTATAAAACTTTAATTAAATTTGGAAAAGATAAGTAAGTAATAATTCTATCATGGGTTCAATTTTGTGTTATTACGTTTTCCATATCATAGATATTAGGTTGAAATTTAAGAAAAAAAAATTGGAAAGTTTTATGGTCTTGAAAAAATAATTTTATAGTTATATAAAATTAGTATATTTCATTTCATAAAACTGAAAATATTATTGATCATTATATAACACACACATGGGAATTTGTTAAAATTCCATTTCTTAAAATCACAAACATCAAAATAAATTAATTAGTATAAATATTAGAAGGCATGTTTTTGAGGGCTGGGAATTCCCAACCAGAGATATTTATTCATGAGAGAAATTTGGGGTCAACCAATTAATTTTATTGTTTTAACCAATAAATCTCTATGAAACAGTGGTTTGAGGCTGTTGAAAAATAAATATTAATTGTCCCGGATGGGAATCGGATCCACAACGGTCAAAACGGCTGATGTAACGCATTACTTGCCCCAGTAGAACCAGAATCCGAGACTAGGAGGATAGGACAGTGCCTCACTCATTGAACTGCCCTGCTTCCTTCTGCCATAACCAAAAAATATTCTAGTTTTATTTTTGTTAACAAAATATTCATGTTTTTGCTATCTTTACCTGGTTGCGAAGCCATTCGTAAGCTATGTATTGGGGATCGATGAGAACAGGAATACGTCGAGTATGGTTGGTGATTGTGGCGCACTCGGTAAAGTAGCTACTCCGAGAAAGACCATGCTTCCACCAGTTTTCTTTTTCATCATGGGTTGTCAACAGCTTGACAATGTTCTTCGAGTTTGAAGAATGTGGTACTTTATTTTCATTGAGTTCCAAGATCTTAGCCCAAGTGTTGATAACTAAAGGCCTGTACTTATCTGGAAATGGGCCTGCGTAGTGAAGAGATGCTGAAATTGGATTTTTAGTTAGTATATAAGAAATAATTTATTAAAACAAAAAACTTAACAGATGTTGTTTGATATCATTGACAGTGTACTCCAATAATGAATGGATAAATAAGATAGAACTTACTTATTAGCCATAAATAATAAGTAAGTACAATCTTTTTTTAGTATTTAACTTTCTTTATTGAATATTAATACATTCTGCCACATTGAAGGGCATTAATATTATGGCTACATGATTCATTCACACAATATGTACATACAATTAATATCAATAATAAAGAAAAGAAATATAAAAAAAAATAAAATAAGTAAATTGGTATGCCCGTGTACAAAAAAAAAAAAAAAAAAAAAAAAAGAAAAATGAAATAATAGATAAAAGCTAGATGAAATTAAAGTAAATAAATCACATTCACACCTATGTACAATATTTACATTCACCCAGACTCTGAGTCATGCCTTATTCCCCGACGTGGAAGCCAAGGCAGGATTCCAGGAGATGTGTGATCCCAGTGCTTCTCTCTCTGCCGCGTCACTGTTATTTGAAACCAGTGGAAACTGATGGAGGGCACTATAGTAACAGACGCTCATGTCTTGAGTGGAGAATCTGGCCATTGCCAGTACTCCAATATATACATATTTACAAAAGGTCCAAAAGGGTCACTGGTGTTTTAAACTCCGGGGAGGATTGTAGCGATGGCTGGAGCTAGATAGGGATTGTGCTACAGGATTTGGATGATGAGTGAGTTTCTGGTGAAATTTGGAAAAATTTTCTGGTATTAGGTCAATAACAAATGGGATATGAAGGTCATTATGGAGGATTTTGTTGGATACATAGAAGGGAGCATCGACTATTGTTCGGAGGATTTTAGACTGGATGGATTGAATGCGTGTGATGTTAGAAAGTTTTGCTGTCCCCCACAGTTCTATTCCGTAGGTCCAAAAAGGTTTCAGGATTGTCTTGTAGATTAATAGTTTGTTGTCGACTGAAAGTTGAGATTTTCTATTCAATAGTCTATATAGTTGTCTGTATCGTCTGTTAAGTTGTTGTCTTTTAAGTCTGGTGTGTGGGTTCCATGTTAGTATTTTGTCTAGTATAAAGCCAAGATACCGGACTGTGTCGGACAGAGGAAGTGGTATGGAGTTGAAGTAGACTGGTGGACAGGAATTGCGTCGAAGGGTAAAAGTAATATGTTTGGATTTGGATTCATTTCGGGTTAGAAGGGCGTATCCAGGAGATTTGCGGGAAGATAGTTTTTGTAAATGATATTTGACCCCAGATGGATGAACTGGTTTTGGTGGTAAAGAGAGTGGAATTGGTGAAGAAAGGAATTCTTCTACTATTGTAGTGTGGGTCGGATTCGATTCGGAATGAGGAGTAAATGTACTGGAAAGGTGTTTGGCGAATTCCTCAGCTTTGTCTTAATCAGACGCCGCCCAGGAGCCATCACCTCGACGGAGGGGATGGGAAATATTATGGGTTTTTAGGATTTTTTTGGTGATATTCCAGAGAGAGTTGTCGTGAGCAGAGAGGGAGGTAAGGAAGGAGTTAAAGGATTGGGATTTGAAGTTGGATAATTCTTGCTTTAGTTGTTTACAGAGGTAGTTATAGGAGCTACGGTCATTGGGATGTCTGGTACGTTGCCATAACAATCTGGCACGGCGTTTGGTATGGATTAGGTCGAGGATGTGACGAGGTAATTTATTTTTCTTTGGAGTTCAAGGGGAATGATTAGGAGAGGAAGCAGTCCAGACTGCTTGTGGAATGATGGTGGTTAAGGAATATACAGCATTGTCAAGGTCTTCTGGAATTTTCTGGGTTATTCTGAGGTCAATTTGATCGGAAAGGATTTGATGGAAGAGTTTCCAGTTGACTGGGCCTCTGATGAAGGACGGTGGAGAGGGTTTAGGAATAGGAGTTAGTGATACTTGGAATATTAATGGACTGTGGTCTGAGGAAAGTTCATCAAGGCGTGCAATGGAATAGTTTAGGGGACCTAAACCACTATGGATGAAGAAATCAAGGATATCGGGATTACGGTAAGGATCAGTGGGCCAGTAGGTAGGAGAATTCGGGGGAGCGAGATTAAAATGTTGGGAGTTGAGTGCAGACAGCAGTGTTCGACCTCGAGAATTCGTAGTTCTTGAACCCCATTGCTGATGCTTGGCGTTAAAGTCTGCACCCAGGATGAAATGGTGTCCTAAGGAATTAAGGAAGGGACTAAATTGGATATTAGAGGTGGATTGGTTGGGAGGGCAATATGCTGATGCTAGGGTAATAGGAAACGAGAAGGTTTTGATTATGATAGCAGTGGATTGTAGGAAATCGTGAGTAGGTAATGGGAGTAGGTGATGAGAGAGGGATTGGTGTACAATGACTGCAGTGCCGGCATGAGCTCTACCGTCTGGATGGTCAGTACGATATGTTGAGTACTGAGGTATATTTAAAATTTGTTTTTTGGTAAGTCGAGTTTCTGTAATAAGGGCTACATCGACGTTCTTATCTCGCAATAAAGCTGTTAGTTCGTCACTGTGGCTTCTAACACCATTCGCATTCCAAAGGAGAATGGATAGGGGTTTGATGGAATTCATTTAAGGATTTTTTAAAGGAGGGATGAGGTGAGATATGAGATTTGAAAGCAGAGATATCAGTGGGGTGACGAGGGATTTGAATTCGGTGAGAAAAGATGCCAACAAACTGGTAAGATCAGTGGCTTGTGATGGAGGAGGAATATAAGGAATGTGATGTTGATGAGGTTGTTGAGAGTTTTATACATTAGGAGGGATAGGGTGTTGGTTTATTAGTCAGGATTCTACCCCCTAGTAACTGAGAATAAGATATTCTAGAGTCTACTATTTTAGCTGGCCCTCTTCTGGGTTTAGAAGTTTCTTCTGGGTTCCGGGGTTTACGAAATTTATTTTTGATGTTTTTATACACCTGGCAGCCCTTGTAATTAGCAGGATGTCCTTCTAAGCATAAAGCACATACTGCAGGAGTAGTTTTCAATTTATTTCTCTCACCAGTCTTGTGTGACTCTCCGCATTTCACGCATCTTGGGATGTGGTGGCAGTATGTTTTGGTGTGTCCATATGCCTGGCAATTGTGGCACTGGACGATTTCTCTTTTAGTATATGTTTTTTCAACCTTGACACTTGTACAATATAATCTGTTGATTTCATATATTTTTTCGACTCCTGCTGAGGGTTCTAAATCGATGAAAAATAGAGGTAATGCTATCTTTCTATTATTTCCTCCAGAAACGTCTCTGTCGTCCTTCATAACATTGGTGACCTGTCGGACTTTGAAACCTAGGGCCGTCAATTCTTCTTGGATCGCCTCGACTGCAGTAGAGGGATGTAAATTTCGCATTACTACCCTCAAGGAACGCTCTTGCCTCAATTGGTAGGTGTGAAAGTCTGCCTTTGTGTCTGATAAATATTTAATTATTTGGCGGTATGCATCAGCTGTGCCAGGGGATATTTTAATATCGTTAGTGCGGCTTAAGCAGGAGTAGCTACCAGGAAGTGTGATTTTGTTTAACTGGGTGCATAGTAAAGAGAAATATTTTAGGATTTTAACGAAAATTGGAGGTGGTCTGGTGTCTCTGGGAATGGGTGCAGATTCCATTATCTCATTTTGAAGTATCTCGTAAGGATTTTAGGTAAAAAAGGGATATTCTTCCCTCACATCCTGAGATGTACCCGGTTGAGATTCAATATTATTTGTTGCTATAGGTGGAGTAGCAGTTGGCGTCATTCTATTCGATCGACGAGTTTTTTTTCGCAGGTAAAGAACGTAGTGTAGATCCAACAGAGCGAGATCTCGTTGTTGCACCCTTAGAAGACATGAGTTGGTGATAAAATCTCATAACATGTCAGAAGAAAGTGAGGGAAGAAAAAAAAAATTAAAGAAAAAGTGAAATGAGGAATAAAATTAAAACACGCTGCGTGACCTTGATTTTGTATCAGAGGGCCTCCCTTCCCAAGTGAAGGCTCCAGGCCAACTGACTACGTTGGGCCAGGTACTTATGGCTGCGAGATAAGGACAGTCCTTTGTACACCACCTTCACTTCGTACAACTGTACACAATAAATAACAACAGTAATCACTGTGGCATTAGTATATATTATGGTCTAGGTGTTTAGTTAACACACAGTCACAATTTTATCAAAAAATAGCACCAATTTTCTAACAAAAAGTAAATATGTCTAAGAGATGAGGTGGCAGTAGTATATCGTAATCTAGCGCATCAATACAATCTTACGTATCAAAAATAAAACGAAAATAATATACTACTAAAAAGAAGATAAACATTTCCATTACTTTATACCAGACTTGCCATGATGATTGACAATTTATTCAATTCGTTTATTTCTAGATATATATATATTATAATTAAAATATTATAAATACATCAAACAAACAACAGTATCAATAGTGTTGTTTATTTTATATATTTGGTTAAAAGTTTGGATATAAGTTTGGATAAAAGACAATACTCAGTGATAATTTGATTGGCATAAAGAACTGAGAAGTAAGATTTGATATCTGTCTAAATGTATGGGTTAAATAATTATGATACGTGTTACTAAATATAAAGATTGAATACTTGATGGTTGGCCGTGGTATATTATTGAGTAAGAAGATAGTCCGGGGTGACGGTCATAAAAAGACTAAAATAGTAACAAGCTATTTTATATAAAGCCAACGTTTCGACCCGACTTTGCAGGTCTTCTTCAGGGGGTTGTATGCAGTGGGTGTTTCAGTTGAAACTAAACTGAAGAAGACCTGCAAAGTTTGGTCGAAACGTTGGCTTTAAATAAAATAGATTGTTACTGCTTGAGTTTTTTTATGACCGCCACCCTGGACCATCTTCTTAGTCTATAAATATAAAGATTTTTGGATTTTCTTTTTTATAACGAACGAATCTCTATGATACTATTTCTATCAATGATGCTAGTAGAAATTATAAGCATTATGAAGAAAAATGACATTAATTAATGATTTCCAAATAATATTTAAAGAGTAGCCAATTAGTTTCCGTAGCACAATCCGCTTCCATATTGTCGTTGACCAAACCAATAATAAATCTTGTTCACTTCAGTTGTGAAATGAGCTTTCCAAGAGACAAAAAAAAAAACTTGCAATAAATGTAGTGACCTTTTATGTGAATACTTCATATTTTTTTTTTTTTTTAATCGTTGTTAAAATTTTAGCATGTAATTTGAGTCGTACGAATACCTAAACTTAATAATTTGATTAAGCCGTATGGTATAAAACTACGGCCAATAAACGCTGATTTTTAACTAATTTGCCCAAAACTGAAACATTACTATGCAATGACTCTACAACTTGGAAATGAGTTCTCTAAGAGAAAAAAATCATTGAATCAAAGCTGTAGAGAATCAAATTTTACGTTCAATAAGTACTAACATTTTTAATGTTCATGGCAGACAAGATTCATTTTACTTAAAATAACATTCACTTTTGTAATTTACATTCAAACCTTAGCCTGCGATGAGTTCACTTTTTGGGCTCTGGCATCAGCTCTAACCTGACCTTTTTCAAATCTGCCTCTAAACCAACAATATCCTATATGCCAACAATATCCGCTAAAACATATTTACAAAGCAGGTTATGCACATATTATTAGATATTATTTTGTTGAACATTGGGATAATAAATAAATAATTCAATTATTTTCTTATTAATTTTTACTATATTTGGATGTATTTTGTGTCAAATTTTGACGAGACAAAATCTTATATTTTATTACAAGTTATATATTTTATTACAAGTTACCTTATATTTTATTAATCACTCCCCCCCCCACCCCAAGTCTGCGCTTATGTTAAGGGTCATTTCGAAAAAACCGTCTTTCATAGCGAATGGCCCAATACAGCGTTGTGGATAATTCTCTTTCTCCATTAACATTATAATTATTGGCTGGTGCAACACATTCCTGTATCACTGTGACATTTTACTTATATTAATACGTACATATAAATATATATATATATATATATATATATATATATATATATATATATATATATATATATATATATATATATATATACATATATACATATATAAAGTATGATTGACCATCAGGTCAATATTTATTTTTTTAAACGTAAAACTTAAAATAGAAAACTTAGACATCCATACAACTACATTTTTTTAATAGTATTTTTAAGGTGTGTAACTATATATAACGGGAAAAAGTAATGCATGGACTCTCTATTTGTTTTGAGCCTTATATATTTTTAGTTATATATTTTATTTCAGTTACCTGCAGCCATGAGCATGTCACCAAAACATGCTAGTCTTCGCCTGCGGAGCTTAATGAGTGTAATTTTCCACACTTTTAATGTTGACGAAATCCGTTTGGCTATATTTCTTGCAGCACGCATATTTTTAATTTTTGTTGGGATTACAGAAATCATGGAGGACAACCTGATATAAATCTGATTTTGATCACGGTTCAAGCGGAATAAGTATTTGTACAACTGTAATAGGGTGATTTGTATTATTTTAAGTTTGTTTTAATAGCTGTTCAACATAGTTATATATCGTGTCATAGCTAACACATATTCGTCCGGTAAATATTTGCATCGCCATTCACAAAATGTCAATATATTTTTGTCTCTGTTTGGTAAAAATTAGAATTTGATTTATTTAGAATTAAAAGAACAAGAATCAATCAAATTTAGGTCGGAGATAAACAGAAGTAATTTACAGGCTTTGCTGATACATTAAAGCCCCAATAAATTAAAAAGAATCCGCTATTTTCTGTACTATACAAATGGCGAATTTTCGTCATGCGGACAAATATGTGTTAAAAATTCTTCACCATTTTTTTAATTAGAATTTCTGTAGTATTGTATATATAGTATGTACATACATATATTTATAACTTATATTTTGACAGATATTATGACTAGAATTAATGTATGTGTGTATGTATTCCATTATTATTCTTAAGAGCCAGAATAAAGTTGATTCTATTCTATTCCATACTATTAGCGGATCTATAGGAGAGAGGGCTTTCGGACTGAAGTTCCCTTCCCTTCTCAAATAAAAAAAATGTTTTGTTTCCATCGGTCCATATTGGTTTCTATAAGTGATCTAAGATTTAAATAGTTACACAACCACAATATGCTTTCTTTTTAAATAATAATGCATTTACACCTACTAAATGTAAGCACGTGCAAAAAAAAAAAAAAAAAAAAAAATATATATATATATATATATATATATATAAAATAAAATCTAAAAGAATTATTGTTTCAATAAAAACCTCTCCCCCTTTTTTTATACAACCACGTCGTCACAATTTAAGGACCACTTAAACATCACTTCAGATAAGTAGGGTCTTCTATTTTTTCCAAAGTAAAAACGACTAAAAAAAACAATCCATCCAAAATTAAATCCTGAATCCGCAACTTTTATATACTTAAGATATTTATTAAAAAATGACTACGAAATTCCATGTTACCAATGGTAGATTTAGGCTGAAGGAAAGCTGAGATGCTATGAAGTGACGTCTAATCTGTATAATCCGATCAAGTATTGTAAAAGCTCAGATTAGTTCTTAAATTGTTTCTATTTCAATGCTGAGAAATTTTTATTAAGTAACCGCATTGAGCAACACAAGCGTGTAGTTTTAACTGTGTCCTGCAATGTATAGGCCCCCACTTATTATTTTTTTATTATATAAGATCGACGAATGAAAGCGTATGTGTTTATTTCAAATATTTGTGGCTTGTAACGCTGACAGAATGGTACCTTGTAATGTTAGAATCAAAAGGTTTTTCTGCCAATGACATGATAAAAATCATATTTCTTTTATGCATCCTTGGAAATATAAACCCTGGCAACCTCAATAAGATACCTATGCTCATTGCTTACTGCAGTCAGTCTTTTCTTAATGTTGAGTAAGCATTGAGCAGTATCATCAGCTTGTTCTGCTTCCTCGGTAAATATTGCGTAGAATACTATAGAATATTGTTCCCTCTAAAGAGAAACTAAATGTAGAGTACCATTTTCGACTTTAGAATAATTACTATTGTCATTATTCTAACAACTTCATTTTACTTTAATTTTTTTACCTACACTACTTATGTTCCTCATCATGTGCCACAAAAAAAAAAAAAATCATGTGCCACTTGCATTATTTGAGAAAAAAGAAAATATCGATTTTAACACACGTAAGGTATTTTAGAGATTGTAACTCAAGTAAGGTGACGATTCTTCGGAAAATTTTATTGACCATGGATATTGTAACATGGCAACCCATGGTTACAGTTATTTATGTGACAGGTGACTGTGAAGAGTCACAAGTCTTCGTTCTTGCATAGCGTACTTATTTTGTGATGCCGTAATGTGATTTGGAAAATCGCTTGAAAAATACAATGAGAGGCTTTCTGTCGTATCGGTGAGGATTCATTTTTATTTAATAATTCGATTATTTTCACAAGAGGAAAATTATAGTGATATATTTAATTATTTTTTAGTACCAGGGATAACCTCGTAATTTGGACCTAGTCTACCAGGAATAAAATTGGATATTCTCACGTTAAAGTTCATAATCTATCATCTAGACGTCGGAAAAAAAGAGATTGATGTCTAAATTGTTTTACAACAACAGTATATCGAGATATAATAGCCAGTTATATCTGCTGCCGGACTGGACTTAGGTTAAGTTTTTATTTGTAATTATTATTATTTTTTAAATTTACATATATTCTTGTTTGTTATAATCATGCACATATTCTGTTAATAATTAAGTAAAAATTGAAGACATATTTTATTTTGTTTGTAGTGAAAGTGTCTTATATTATATTTAATTTTTTTATATTATATATTCCTTTTTGTATATCTAACGTATGAAAATATCAACTATTAATGTTAATCTGGTCATAATATGTATGAGTTTAAACCCGGCCTCTAATTAGGATTTAAAGATACAGTTTATATAAAGAGGAAGTAAAGGTACAACGTCCTATTTATTAACAATTACGTTGTGATATATCATAATCAAATATATCAGCCACTTATTAGATATATTGTTAGAAATAGGGTTTGAAATCGATAATTAAAAAAACCTTTATTTGCAATTTTTTTAAATCATTTGGTGATTTTGATTTTTATCATAAATAAAAAATAAATTATATTTTTAATATTTGTTTTATATATTTTTGAACAATTTTTTTTTACAATTAACAATAATAATAATTCTGAGTGATACTTTTTTAAATAAGAAATATAATTTTTTTGTAATCTCAATGACCTACTGGATGTACCGTAAGTAGAGGAAAATATTTAAAAGGTTGATAGTAGACTTCAATTTTACAAAAAAAGTTCATATAAATAGTGAGTCTATTTTCAGCAGAAAAGAGCGAAATTTGAGATTAGTGTTTTTTTAAATGAGTCACGCTTTATGTTGAATAGGAAGGGATTAAATAAAATATATTTGCTTAAAGTAATTAAACAATGCTTCACAGTAAACAAAATTTACTTTAAACGGAAGTAGAGTTTGTCATTGTTAAAACTATTTAAAGAGGTCTATAGAGCGGACAAACACAGCTAAGTCCCGTAAAAAAAAAGTCAGAAATTATTTGTGATTTTTTTTTTTCATCACCCTTCAACTGTATTACAGTTACCCAACTTCTAGAAAAACTTTAGTAAGCTCTAGCAACCTCTTTTAGTAAGCTTTAAGGTCATATTAATTAAGTTACGGTTTATTAGAAAAACTTTTGAGATTCACCCAAGTTTCATGGCGCAAGTAAACATAACATAAAAATGTTTGAGGGGGGCACATTTTGACGGGGCATTAAATTTTTTAGGGGGGGCACATTTTGGTAGGGTCATGAATATTTGAAATGGAAAGTTCTAAACTAAGGACAAGAGAAAGACAGGGAACAGATCCCAGCAAGTGTAATTGTATATGATCTACAATGTTTTAAATTTCACTTTCGTTTTCACAGTTATTAAGAAGAGGAGAGAAATATAATATCTTGGAAAGAGGAGGGGGAAGGATCATGTGCCATTGACCTTGAGGGACTGGGACCACCTCTGGATTCATCTCAAGTTCTGTAAATAAATGCTGTGATTTTCTATCCAGTCATCTAAAAGTAACCGTGTTTTGAATGAAAATTACTATAATTAACTGTTGCAAAGCTTGTATTTATTATTTTCCCATGAAATGGGATGTATTATAATAAACATAATTATCTAAAAACACATTTTATAAATAAATATAAAAAAAATAAGAAATATTTATTTTTCATGTAAGGTGTTTTTTTTTGTGTTTCTCCCAGGTTTTTGTCATAGAAATTGATATGCATTTTTAAGTGACTAACTGTATGTTTCTAGCACTAATATTTTCGTTTTTATGAAAACAATTGAAGCAATAAAAAACGACCTAGTTCAGTTTTTTAACAATAAACTCCAGACATTCTATAAGCATGGAATTATGCAGTTAATGGAAAGATGGGAAAAAGTCATATTAAATAGTGGTCAATATATTGTAGATTAAAATAAATTTTATGTATATAATAAATTGAGTTTTATTTCACCGAAAAACCGAAAAGACTTATTTGCCAACCCAATTACACTTGAAGGGTGATGATAAAAAAATTACACATGATTTAAGACTTTTTTTTTAAACGGACTTTAGCTGAGTTTGTCCGCCCAATACTCCTCTTTAAACAGTTTTAACAATGATCAACTCTACTTCCGTTTAAAGAGAATCTTATCTAGTTTACTACTGAGCAATGTCAATTACTTTAATAAAATATTTTTCAATTAATCTCTTATTATTCTACAAAAAAACGTGACTCGCTTAAAAAAACACAAATCTTATTTTATTTATTTATTTTAAATGATATTTACAACTGTATACAAAAAAATACATCTAGTAAATTTGCACATTGGTATTGCACATGGAACACATGTTGAGAAACTACCCATTGGTAGCACTCTAATAATATGTCTATATTAGAAGATCACGTGGCCATCTTCTTTTCAGACGCCTCGGAGGGTTATCAGGAATCGAATAGGAAGCAAGGTTAGAGACAAGAGGGTTGGGATGGTTATGAAGTTTATTATGGAAGGACAGATATCTGGATTGGGCCAAATCTGATACATAAGGAACATTAAGGTCATTATGGATAATTTTATTTGTAACAAAGTAAGGAGCATTGAGGATTTTACGAAGGATTTTGGATTGCAAGGACTGTATGCGAGAGGAATTTGAAGGCTTGGTGGAGCCCCATAGCTCAACCCCGTAAGTCCAAATAGGCCTTATTATAGTCATGTAAATCAGTCTTTTATAATTGATTGGAAGGTTAGAGCGTTTGTCCAGTAAGTGTTGAAGTAGTCGGAAACGTCGAGCGGTTTCTTGTCGTTTCAGTCTGGTATGAGGATTCCAAGTTAGACGTTTGTCCAGATGGAGTCCTAGGTAACGGATTTGTTCAACAGGAATAAGTGAGGTGTTGTTAAAGGA